CCGGAAGGTCCGTGGTTCGAATCCGACCTCCGCCACTCGACTTCCCCTGTCTAGGCTTGGGCAACCTGACAGTATCCCAGCCCTCGTGCTTCCTTCGGGTGGCATGGCAGCTAGGCACCGAAAGGGGCCTACAGCTGAACGCTTTCTTTCTTTCTTTCGATAGATGAACTGATCACACTGCACAGGTTGCGCTGGCTTGCTCACGTGCGCGTATGCCATACAGCCAGCTGACAATGATGATGATGATGAAGTTGTGCGGATGTCCTGATGTTAGTGCATATTTAGGTTTTATTCTTCTGATTTGTTAGGGATTCGATGATGATGATGAAGTTGTGCGGATGTCCTGATGTTAGTGCATATTTAGGTTTTATTCTTCTGATTTGAGGGTTAGGGATTCACACAGTATTTGTATAGGCAGAAGCAAACGAGGTTGTATGTGCCTGGGTGGTAGTAATGGGGCTAATGAATTAAGGAGACTGCCTACCGCTTCTAAGTTGTATGACGTGATGTTACTTCCCTTTTTCTCATTTTGAATAGGTATCTCACCTTAAGTCTTTAATTCGAAAGTTCGACTTAGAAGGCGGTAGAAGGAGGTTCCGGGACTTCACCTGTAGACTGTGACTCAGAAGTTTGGTCCGTAAACCGGCAGTTGTTGTGGCAGTGAAGCATCAGTGGCAACACTGATGTTGCTGTCTTTGATGATGATGATGATGATGAGTTGTGGCTTTCTTGAGAGATCCTACCCGGAGCGCAGATGGTAAGGCGTAAATCTCCGGCTTTTAATGCTGCTACGAACAGCAGATACCTTGTGTGCAGCACAGACTGCTTTTAAACGCATGTTGACCGAAATGTATTATTTGTCGGCAGTCACTGTCAACCATTGAGTGCGCCTTTTTATGGTTGTTTGTAACGCGTCCTTCCTCGGAGGAAGGCAGCGCCACTGCCCCATAATTATGGACTTGCTGGTCACCCGAAGGGGACATGGTTCAGGAGGCAGTCAGGGTCAGATTCTTTTTTTTTAAAGACTCATTTCGAGTCAAAATTGATCGGTAAAAGCCCCATGATGGACAACTAACAGTATGTTTGCACCGTGTGGCTGTTGTGCGCATTCATTACTGGAGATCACGCTATTACCTTTCCGGCTGAAAAGCCTACAAGACAAGGGACTCATCAACGCCAATGGTGCTACCAGGCCTTGTACAAACTAGCCGGCTGGATTTTGTTCCATTTGGTTGCTCACTTTGGCGTTGCATAAACTTCTAAGTAGTGTTTGCAACTGTTCTGCTTCCATTATCTGGCTCCCGTGTAGTGTCCATCCAAACATGAGTGAGTACATCCAGTGAGTCGGCAAATAAGTTGGATTCAGTAGATAATTCTCTTTTTGTCCGTTCAGGGGCTTCAATGAGATACTCCCCTGTCTGATTCGAGATTACCGTCTTCCTATTTCTTATTTTCCAGTTTGATGCACACATCTCTTTAGTAGTTTAACCCTTGTCACCTTGGGTTTGTGCCGCAATTGAACCTGAGAATACTTCACTTTACCGCAACCATGTCCGAAGCGCAGTGCGATGGAGGAACTTCAAACGAATGTGAGTTCGCAATTGTTTTTTTTTGTAATGATATCTACTTAATTGTTCAGCTATATTATTATTCCGGTGGTTAGCTATCATGTCAACGAAAGGAGCTACGAGGGCTGAGATACTGCCGGGTTGCCAAGGCGTAGACAGGAGCAGTCGGGATGCTGAGGTTGAGTTCGAACGACTGACCTTCCGGTGGCTCCTTAACCAGTGAGCTATTTCGAGCGCAGATTGTAGTGTTACCAAACTTTCCCATGAAAGGTGCTCTTTCCCCTCATACGTGTTCGTGGTCGACTGATTATGATGCAGCTGTGATTACGGACGAGAGTGTGTGGGTCTGTAATGATAGACACTACAAGGTTCTTCAGCAGTGAAATGACCTCATCGGGAGACTGCCTATTGGACAGATGGCTAACACACTGATTGTTCTAGGGTGAAGCGCTTCCCAGGTCTCATGAGAGCGCAGTATTGGCCGCATGATATAGTGGCTGTTGAGCTCCGGGCTTAGAGTTCTTTCAGTCCTTTCATGACAGAATCCATACTTCCCTTAATTTCACAAGTTTGAAAGAGTCAACTGGTGCCACTAATCGATTCTAAATATTTTCGATCGTGACTTGGATCAGAAATCCAGTCGCTTTCTATTCACGAAAGGAGTGTCTTCAGCCACTGCCCTGGAAATGCACACTAGGTGACACTTTGCCATCAATTCTGGTATTCTAAGTACTTTCGCTCCTGAATGTTATGTTATCCAGATGGCCCGAGATGGCTCAAGTGGTTAGAGCGCGAATTTACTGACCGGAAGGTCCGTGGTTCGAACCCGACCTCCGCCACTCGACTTCCCCTGTCTAGGCTTGGGCAACCTGACAGTATCCCAGCCCTCGTGCTTCCTTCGGGTGGCATGGCAGCTAGGCACCGAAAGGGCGCTACAGCTGAACGATTATTATTATTATTATCCACTTGTGTAGAGTTCCGATATGCTAGGCTGACACTGCCTTGGATAAAATGGAAATGCATTTGCGGCTCAAATATTGAAGTAGACAGTGCAACCGAAAGCAGAAGTCTTCTTCATTCAGAATAAAATCAACTTCAAGCACTGTGATCTTAAGTTTGCTGTACTGTATTCAAACCATCTTAGGGTCCTTGCTCAGCTGCTACCAACGAGATCCCTAATTTGTTAATGGCGTCCCACTGTCACGATTGCACGCCAAGAATTGCGAATTCTGATGGTAACTAGACATGATCCGTACTGAACAATCGGGGATCTGAGTGAAAACGACCCTTGACTGCACGCTCAGGGCGCTAAGCGCAGAAATGGTTCAGTTCTGGAAGGACTGAACTACAGCCCTGCGTTTTTGTGTTCTGTTGGTGGAAACATTTCTCGGATACTCTCAACATAACTTGCTGTTCCAGTCTTTCACGAGTTAAATTTCACTTTCATTTTTTTCACAAACGTTTTAGACAGTTGAATTGAACTGTGGCGCTAGACGCTCCGTCAGTCATTGACAAGCTAGTAGTTGATTTAGACGAAATTAATACGCTTCTTGCCTTGTAGCAGTAAACAGTTTGTGTATCCTCCATTTCTGAGTAAGAATTAATATGTCTTGGTGCGTACTCTCCTGAGGGCACTCTTCTGTCATGTGGATTCGGCCTAATTTCGGGTAAGGTGTGCAATCACGTATCCCATATGTTCACCGTTTTTTGTTTGCTGTTTGCCTAATGTGGGACGATATATCAGATACACGGAGTCAATGTGTGTTTTGGTCGCTACTGTGCTGCCATTTTGGGCAGTGATCAATTGATCCATTCTTAATCTATAGTCAACAGCCATAGATATCAGGTCAGTACCGTGCGTCGAATTTTTCGAGTTGCACTGAGCACTACCCCAATATATTAGGATTCGAGAGTATTCATCGGGCTGTGATTAGTTGGTTGAAAAATTTGCCCGGTTTCGAGTTTGCGTCGTACTTCTGGCAATGTACGAATAAGTAGTTAGTGAGTATGATACAGAAACCACACGATTAGGACATCACGCTAACATTGCCATTTATTTCTAGCTATGGTCACATAGGTCACTCACATATGAAGGACCCATGGTCTACCGCTCAATAAAAAGGTTACCGGATCGATCTGTGACCAGAAGTTTCTTTTTTGAGACAATTAATTGTTCGGTCGATGATTTCCTGATATATCCAACCCCAAAAATACCACTTATTGTAAAGTGTAAGGTGGGACTATCCGGATAAAACTAGGCTTTTTTATGTAGTTCCCGTTGTATTTTTCAGTCTACGTTTGCAAGAGGCTTCAGAAATATTGAGGAAGCAACTAGACTAAGGAAAATAAACATTCGTGAATTATGCTCACCGAATAGACCAATGAAGGTCGATACTGTCAACAAGCCTGATTCAATCTCCCCATGTTACTTATGCCGCAGTAATCTGAAAGCTAATGTGTCCGGCATCTTTGGCTTGATCTGCTTGCTCAGCTGGGTTGGCACTACGTTGCTTCAATCAATTTTTGAGATATAGTATCCCAGTCAAGGCCACTTAAGGTGACAAGAAAGCAGACCTAGCATAGTGCTTATTCACAATTTCAAGGATGTCTAACTTCTCTGAAAACCGACCACCACCAGTTTTGTGGGGGCTCCGTTCAGCCTTGCACTCAGCGTACCACATGGCTGGACTGTGCGTATTTGCTGTTTGCAAATTTTATTGCAAATACATCGCTGACTGGAAATGCAACTGATTTCACATCTCGAGCAGACTGTTGTATCATACAGTCCTCAGTATCTCTACAATGGTCAGATTTTGTTGCTTTAACCTTCGACAACGTGAGTCTCAAACCTTGAGTACTTCCGAAGTGTACAGAATTATTGATAGCTTATGCACGTCTTATCGCATGGTTTCACCTTTTCATCAAGGAGTTCATTATTTATTCTCACAGGTGTAAACCCAAGTGGACTGTCTTCTGCTCGTACGAAGAAACGTAGTGTCCGTTTCGAAGACGGGGATAAATTGGTAACTGCTGTGTTTCAGCCTGCGGGGCCTTGGGAAAATGGTGACCATATCTAATTCTGTAATACTATTTCTTCTGTTGTAGCTGATCGGCTGAATCCCTATGAACTGGTTGGAGCATACAAAATTCGTTGTGACAATGATGGTGTGCAGCCACTGTACTCGGTTTTTTCACAACTCCAAGTAGGTTATCTCGTACAAATGTGAGATCGCCTGAAACGTAGGATATTGATCTTAAGTTATCTTATGAGCGAAGACCACACTTCACCTTAAAAGGTTTGTCAGTTCCATTTCCGTAACAACTTCTTACGCCTAATCACAGGGACACAATTGAACGCAGCTCACGTCGAAATCTTGGAAGAAGTCTTCAAGCGAGTGCAGTTTGAGCATCTAAATTTGGAAAATACCAACTTGGATGACGAGGCAAGCTGATACTCATGATACTAAACCAGTTATTTTGCATGTTATTCACACTAGCTTCATGTTGTAGGCCTCTTATTAAAGTTTTAACAGGGAAAGATTGATGAGTGCTGCATAATCAACCGGAGGTCAACTATTGTCAACTTTCCACTAAGTTGGGTCCACAAAATATCGTAATACAATTCAACTTTCTAGCTATTGATCCAGCCTTACGCTCAGATCGTTGTTCTTCGCCTCCCTTACTCGATTGGGTCGGTAAGCTGTTACGTCTAAGCATATAAGAGCGTATAGCTTAAATACTGGTATGGACTAGGTGGCGTGTGAAACACCCATAGTTCCATCGAAACTCAGAAGATCCTAAGTGTAGTGCACCGTCGTTCAGACGTTATTTTATTAGACTGATATTATCTGTTCCCAATTCATTGGGAGCGCCTCTATATAACGCGAATGTTCCGGTTCTCGTGGCTGAGATGAGTAAAGCAGTTCAAATACTCCGCAGTATGTACCTCCTGTATGTGTTGACGAAATGAATAAAAGGACTGAGTACTCTAGGTTTCTGCAGAGGGTTCATGCACAGGGCCAAACCGTGGAGAGTTTCGTCCTAGACTAAGATGTAGACCAAATATCCTATTCGGGACGAACATTGGAATATCGTTCCAGCTGCGTTTTGTTTGCTTAAGCATGGGCTATCCCCTTAGCTGACCGCGTCCGCACGAAAGCGGTGAAAGTCATTAAGGTCTGTTACTCACCATCGAAGGCTTCGATCCGGGCATGAGGCGAGGAGACCACAAAGTTCAACACTGGGCGTGATGTACGACAAGGCCACCAACGTTCGTCAGTACTCTTCAACTTCGTCATCGGACTATTATCTTCACGGGGACCGGATGAGTACTCTGGAATGCAGCTAGGTACCAAAACCTGGATAGCTGGGTGAAATGATCTATATCACACCTATCTTAACGATGGCGTCTGTGATCTTTTCTGTATCTGTTACACAGAAAGGATGCTGAAATCACTAAACAAACAGCTCGTACAACATCTCAATGACGGCGCTGTCAGCTCGAGGGCAAACCGAAAACCTAGCTCAATACGATCATGGAACAGCTCTGTTTCAACGTGGTCTCCAGAGTCCGTCAGTGGAACCCGCACTGGATTTGCGCAGACTTTGAAGCCGATTGCCGTGCCTAGGCAACACGTATCCGAGACATTTCTAAGGCGAACTATTCCTGTCCCAGGTGCTAGTTGTCTAAAAAACGAAAGAGACTCAGTTTCTGTGATGCACCCATTTGATCTTCCGGTGTCTCCGTGCTGCAAATTATGTTGGAATTAGCAGTTATTCAGTCGAAATCGCACCCATCCTGACCAGTTCCCGTTGCAGTTTTGCAAACTTCGCAAACTGTCAACAGCCACAATTTGCTCAGGTTACCGAAATCGTACACTGAAACTAGCCGTGAGAAATCGACTGCGTTTTCAATAATGTAGCTCTAACACCTGACGGAGTGTGAAGATGTGGTCGGGTGTTAGAGCAACGTCGCAGCCAGACCGTGTGCGTCAGCATTGGACCGAGTTCAGACAGTGCCCCTCCAATAAATAGCTTGGGACCGTTGTACATTCGCACTCGCACGCACTCACGCTCTCGCACCCACTTTGTTGGGATATAGCTGTTGTGTTCCTTTCCGTGAGTCTTTTCTCTCCGACACTAGGCACTGGAGCGGGTCAGCAGGAGATACCTCAGATTGGCGGATCAGCTGATATAAAACTTTTAATCAGACGATAGAGCAAAAACTGGTTGATCATTTCAGGTAAGTAGCGTTACTTGTTACTTTGGGTTGTGTTGACACTAGGACGCTATGGTAATCAATTTCGTGGTAGATTCTTATTCAATCGAACGAAAGCCGCAGTGAGTCTGGCTACAGAGTAGCCGTTTTTCTTAACTGGTCCCGTGGAATAGTTCATTAGATCGTCTTCCTGGTGCTGCTGTATGGGTGTTGGTCAGGGTAAGTTAGTCAAACCCTGCGTCTTGTGGGTGCCGTTGCAATCCTGCGTTGCCGTTAGAGTCCGGAAGTACAGGTAGCGTGCAATTTCGTGAGCTTGTGAGCTAGAAGAACCGCAATGCACGACAGCTGGATTGGCGGGTAAATGGATGGGATGCTCTTGAGCCCGCATCAGGTGTAGGATATCTGTACGTGAAGATGTCACAGCACAGCCCATGAAGCGTTAGTAATTCACCTATCGTCGCAGAGTTTCCTCTTCCTAAGACCATCTGGCGTACCTCAGCATTACTGATTCGATGTTCTTACCAGACCTGACCAATGCTTTGGAGACACTGATGATCAAACACTGACATCTTCCGTATGTCCCCTGCGTGTAGGGGCCACCTATCTAATCCATATAGCAGTATGAATCGCACCACCGCAGTGTAAACTCCTCCTTTGACATACAAATTCACGTCACTTCGGCGCCATAGGTATCGGGCGTTGGCAAAAGCTGCCCTGGTCTTTCCGATTCGAGAAGGAATCTCATCTCAAGCTAGTGCACCAAAACTTATACAGCTGCCCAGGTAAACAAATTGGTCTACCACGTCGATTGGCCCACCTGCCAGCATGAGTTGTGGGTTCATCCCACCCAGTCTTGTAGCAGCACTTCACACTTTGCAGGCGTGAAGTGCATACCAAACCTTGTGGCAGAGTTGTTTAGGTTATTCCAAATCATTTGCATTTGGGAAGGATCTGAACCAAGAACAGCAATATGGTCTTGATACTCAATGTGTGTGAGGGAACATCCCGAGGTTTCAGAGGCATAAGGGCAATTTCAAGCAACATATCAATAACAAAGTGGAAGAGGAAAGGAGAAAGAGGACACCCTTGTCTTACATGGCTGGACGTGGTGAACTCTGGCGAGAGCTTCCCGTATACTCGTACGAGGTCACAAGAGTTCGCACACAGAGCCTCCGTAAGAGAGAGAAATTTGTAAAGGACACCTGTGATCGCCCTACACTTCCAAAGTTGCTGACGATCGATAGAATCAAAAGCAGCTTTCAACTGCAGAAAAACGACCAACGTGGAGCGTCTGAAGGAGTGACGCTGTTCAAGAATTTGCCTCAAGGTAAAGATATGGTCGGTGCATACTCGACCAGGGCGAAACCAAGCTTGATTCTCACGACTCTCTCTCCCGATAATCCACCAACCTGCGCAAAATAATGTCAGAGTTCAACTTAGATGCGACGGATACCAGGATGGTACCACGATGGTTTTTACATGACGATCTTGCCGCTTTTGAAAACTGCGATGACGGTCGAGGAGCTCCATTCTGCTGGTATTCTGTTTTCGTTCCAAATAGCCTGTAGTATGGTTGTCAGACTGTTCACCAGGACTGCCATTTTCTTTGAGGATCGTGGGGTGTAGAACATCCTGGTCCAGATGCCTTGTCGCGCTTCAGGATTCAAACCTCCAGCTGGATTCCGGTTTCTGATGGGTTGGTGTCGATGTTCCATTCTTGGTTCTTCCACCGGTTATGTTGAAGGAGAGCAGGTGAACTGTTCTTGGAAGTGTTCGGCCACCGCTGAAGACGGCGATTAAGGGAGCGGATTGCCTTTCGGTCTTTTTCGCACATTGTCTCACTGACCCGTTGGTCGGATCAGTTGAAACAGGGTGTGGTGTTGCCTACAGCAAAAATCTTCCACCAGCGTTCTCTGTCATTCGTGAAGCTCCCGATTATCCGGTGTTTGACGGGTCTGCCTGTGCCACATAGCCATTAGTAGCTGGTATGGCCTTTCTAGCAGCAGTAAGGTCTGCTGATCTGGAAGATATCCAGTGTTCATTGGGTCCAGTCAAATGAGCTGGAAAAGCAGTTCTAAAAGCTGACAGCATTGCTTCTTTAGCTCGCTTCCATTCATCCTCCAAGCAGTCTTCGTCGTTCACATGATTGTACGTTCCCAGTAGCTTCCTAGCCAGATCAGCTCGAGACTCCTCAGCTACTAAAGCTTGTCGAAGTTGATGAACGGGGCTGCCCTCTTTAGGCACGCATGGTGCTGGCGGATAGCGAAGTGCTAAGCGGGCCCGCGCGATGAAGTGATCAGAGTTAAGTTGCGCCAGAAGGAACTGGAAGATATCCAGTGTTCATTGGGTCCAGTCAAATGAGCTGGAAAAGCAGTTCTAAAAGCTGACAGCATTGCTTCTTTAGCTCGCTTCCATTCATCCTCCAAGCAGTCTTCGTCGTTCACATGATTGTACGTTCCCAGTAGCTTCCTAGCCAGATCAGCTCGAGACTCCTCAGCTACTAAAGCTTGTCGAAGTTGATGAACGGGGCTGCCCTCTTTAGGCACGCATGGTGCTGGCGGATAGCGAAGTGCTAAGCGGGCCCGCGCGATGAAGTGATCAGAGTTAAGTTGCGTACCCCAGAAGGAACGAAAATACTTACCTGAGGTTCTACTTCGGCAACTGATAGCTATATGGTCCAGCTGAGTCCAGGACTGTCTTTTGGTAGGTGGACTCCAAGTAATTTGGTGTATGCGTTTGTGTTGTAGTTCCTACGGGCCAAGAACAGACGACGATCTACACACAACTGAAGAAGCCGCTCTCCATAATCCGTGTGCTCAGTATTGACTCCAAGTTGGTCACCTAACTGTGTTTCTTCCGAACTTAGCTGTCCAACTTGGGCATTCATATCACCCGCCAGGATTACTATATCCGTTCTTCTTGCTGGCCGAAGTAGTCATGGCAGATCTTGATAGAACTCGTCCTTCTCAGTCTCAGAACTGCTATCTGAGACTGCTATCTATCTAATACGACAAACAAACGACGTTTATTGCATCGATCTGTGTTAATGCTAATTGATCCAGAGAACCGCATAGCGCAAAGTCGACTGTTTACTGGGATCCAGTCTAGTAAGTCGCTTTCATCCTTGGGGCTGAGTGCAACTCCCACACCGTGGATCCCACGAACTATTGCTTCAGGATCACCGGATACCCGAAGAGTGAGATGTGGAACATATGGGCTCGTCATAAGCGGCTTGAGGAGCACGACCGAAGTGGGGTCATGTATGCATGTTTTGGAGACACAACATGCATTGATAGAGAGGGAAATTAAGGTTTCAGCAGGGTGTGCCTGTTGCCCGATTCGACACAAAGTAGAGCATTAAAGACTGCAACGTGGATCAGATCTTCTGAGGTTAGTAGGTGAATATTTTGGTTTATTTTTCGGGGCGATGGTTGAGACACGGAGCAGTGGTTAGGGGATTGGCAGATGGGTTGATTGCACTGCATTGTACGATGGGCTGGGGGGGAATGAGGACGAAGCCCGGTGAGCGAAGAGCTGCAAGGGCAAATGATACTTCCAGGTTGCCCAGGCCGAAGAAGGGGGTTCAGTCGAGGTGTCTCACTTTGAGCCATTGACTCAAAAGTCTGACTCACAAGTCAGTGGAGGATGTAGGTTTTTGTTCGGGGACCCTGCCCCTAGCCTCTGACTCAAAAGTCTGGACCGCGAGACGGCGGTTGTTAGTGTTATCTTGGGGGACCCTTCCGGATCCAGTGACTCAGTAATCTGACCTACTTGGATGTAGGGAGCCGGTTTGGCCCGAGGGCGCAGGGAGTAGGAGATTACTGTCTCACTCCTGATGCGCCTGTGCACAGCAGGTACCTTTTGAGCAGCACCGGACTCTCTGGTTTTAAACGTATTTCGACCGTATTGAATAGTGCACCGGCGGTCACGGTCATTCGTCGGACGATCGGAGTCTGCGGTATTCGGGGCCGACCTTTTCTAGCCGTCCTTTCTCGGGGGAAGGCAGCATCGCTGCTTCCATAAATATAGACGTGTTGGTCGCTCGGGAGAAGCACCTTACTGCCTTCACACCCATGTCGCAGAGGACAGTACGACTTTACCTCCAGACCGCCTCGTAATACGATTACTCGCAGTACGGGGACTCGCTTTGGGAACTGAGTTCCAGCCAATGTAGCCCTCAGGATCATTGCAGCACAGAAGCCCGACCAACACGACAAGGTCGATAAATATTGTTACATTTAATGTTTCACAACTCCTTTGGGACGTCGAATGGAGAAAACTCGTTACTGATAACGACGGTGACTGGTGGTAGGTGCAATCTTTTTGGTTTAATGGCAAAATAAATAGAATTGTACTGAAAACTACTGTTGCTCTAGAACACATGGAGGTCAGGTTTAGCAATTAATCTGTGTGGCTTATTTGGCGAGAAGTAGAGGGCAACACAACGGAACTCAGTGAGTCACAAATGCAAACGAGCTTCCAGACCCTGGCTGCCTTCAGTACTAGATGAATAACCACAATTTTCACTGGAGGTCAGAAATTTCGTTGACTTTTGCGAAGCGTTTTTTGTGAGGAGCTTAATGTCAGATCCAAATAGCTGGGATCTCCGTAAACACCTAGCTGTCCTGAAAGATTCGAAAGCTGCTGGCTTTGCTCCTGATACCGAAGTTCGAACACGATTCCTGAAGAGGGCTGTAATCTTCCCATTCCGTGTAAACTGAATCCCTCTGACTTTTGCGCATTGTTCAAGAAACGAGCAAGGTATACGGATTTTCGACGAATGCTCTCATTTGCGCACTGTTTTAGTTTTTACTGGAGACTCAACTGAATGTGCTGCACCAAGCCGCCTCATGTTTCATTTGGTATGGTATTCGAGATGGACGAGAATAATAAATAATGATCGTTCAGCTGTAACACTTTTTCAGGGCGTAGCTCCTATGTCGCCCAAGGGGAGCACTGGGCTGAGATACTGCCAAGTTGCCCAAGCCTAGACAGGAGCAGCCTAGATGCTGAGGTTGGGTTCGAACCACGGACCTGTCAGTCAGTAGGCTCGTCCCTTAACGACTAACGTATCTCGAACTTGAGTCTAGATGAGAAATTCAGATGAGTTCAGTTGAGTCTCCTTTGAAAACCAGATTCGTGTGCAAGTAAGATTATTTGTCGAAATATGTACAACCTGGGTTCAATCAAAACATAAGGTTGACGGAATCTCGGGGATTGCGCCTGCCTGCTGAGCCTCAAGATGGCAAAACTGGTCGTGGACTGTCAAAGAATTATCAGCAACCTTGTAAATAGTGTGTTGCGTCTTTATGATTTTTCCTCCATGTTGTCTAAGTTCGGATCCTGTTGTTCCTAATGATCATTCGAATGTGTAATTCACCCAGTAAGTATCTATATGTCCTTCATTTGTTCATTCCAAAATCTCGTTTACTTATGTGCCTTCCATCACACTGACTGTCGGTGTCTTCAAGTGAGTTTTATGTCTTCGTAACGTCAACGTATTGGACACACTGGCCTGATGAGCCTTAGAATTTGGCCGATAAGTGTGGCTCTAAAGAAATCAGATGGCAAGTTAGATTGTATGGAGATAAGTGATATTGTGTAGTAGACTTGCTGCTTTCCAGTATTTGTGAGTCTTTTGCTGCCTGACGGACGCGGATTAACCAGAAGCTCAATGTTAGAGTGCCAGACAACTCAAATGAACATATTCTGGTCCAGATTTGGGCGTACGTTTCTAGTGGCACGACACTGTTCAGTTCATTTCGTATGCGGTTTTCTCTTCTGAAGGGATTACTTGGGTTAACTGACCGGAATTTGTTTTGGTGGGAATTTACCGTAAAAATAATTTCGAAGTGACCTCTTCCGAATGGCACTCTCTCCAGAGGGAGACGTTTGTATAAGAGGAGTTAGCATACCTCATTGTTTTTTTTTCGCCTGAGTACTGGTACTCACTGATACTATCTCGAATCACTGGTTCTTCCCTATTCTTCTCTAAGCAGTCTCTGGTGGCGTTGTGTGAAATGTTGGAGTTTTACGAGTCATGCACTGAACTATGCCTTTCGCGGAACACGCGTATTCACAGCGGTGGATGGAAAGCGTTGACTCGCTTGGTTAGAAAGGTATGCGACCACGTATTAGGCCTGTATTCAGTTGTAGTTCTATTCCAACGTGACTATTCTCTCCGATTTCTATCGTTGTTCTCTCAGACCTATTATTTCCCTGACTTCACAAATAGAGCTTGTTTGGCACCATTTAAATTCCCATTTTTCACTGTTTTCGGCGTGAGTAAGCTGCTCTTTTCCATCACTGTGACCGTAGTTGTTGTGAACGATGACTCTCTTGCTATTCAGCCTAGATTGAGGCATTTGCCTGTACGATTTATGGTGTAATCGTAGATAATCTTTTCGAACACACGCTCTGTGCAAACTGTGTTCGCCCTTTGTAGATGATAGCTGGACAGCTGTATTCCTAGGAATAACCCTTAGTTTACATTTTCAGAACTGCCCTATGCTGGAACTCACCGAGGAAAAAGTAGCCATGTTGTGTACGTTTGTCTCTTTGCGCCCACTATGTAGCCCTGTTCTATAGCATTGTAGCGCATTATTGTTGGCTTTCATATTGCGGCTATTCCTTTAAGCCGCCTTCATCACTGAGAAAAAACTGGACGGAAATAGCATATGAATCGTGGAGCTTGCTGTGCATTTTACAGGCTTAAGTAAGTCTTAATTACCCAAACAAGTGAACAGAAACTTCTAACTGGTTTTCAGCACCATGTTGGTATGTTTTTTCGTCTGACACTGATGTCGGTGATGATGATAATGGTTATAATGATGTTTATTCGTCTACCATAATACTCGACTAACCATGTAACAGCCTGAGAAAGCTTGTGTCAAAGGAGAGAAGTTACGCTGAAGTAAATCTCCCAAATATCTACCAAACACATTACTATTCTGGTCGGCCTATTCAAAATCACCAGGAAGTCATGGACCGCCGTCCCAACAAACAGGGATGCTTGAGTTTGACCTTTACGCTTATGTGTGGGTAAGCGCTTCCGGGTGGCTTGAAAAAACTGGGCACATTTCAATACTTTACTTTTAAGTATTAGGTGTTCACGGGACTTGTAGGTTTCATATAACTCTTGTTTGGATAGTCGTCATCCTATGCTGGCACAATTATTCTGAGGGGTCCATACCAAATGGGTGAAGCACTGGACTCGAGTTTCAGATGCGCATATCTTTGATGGTACCGGGGTTCGAACTACGCACATTCGATATGCGGGGTATTACTCCACCAGCGTACTTTGGACGCATTTGGGTTTTCACGTCTGAACTAGTGAACGTGTTCACACTCGAGCTCACCCCTTTGGTATGGACTCACCAAACTAATTACCCCAGGACAGGAGGACGGCTGTTCAAACGAGAGTGATGTGAGCGTGCATTCTACAAATCCTACCGTTGTGACTTGTTGAAGAGTCGTGCAACTCTGTATCAGTCCCTTGGCTTCCTGCTCTGCCCGCTATATCAAAAGGCACGGTAGCTTTAGACAGCCCGTTATGGAGACAAAGGAAAATTATTACAACTGTGTTTATAGGGTAGTCACAGAATGTTTCACAAGGTCGTGCTTGAATCTCCGTGAGGGGACGAGAGGCGTCGAGCTCGATCCAGGTTGGCTGGCCTTCTGACCAATCACGGCATGCCTTCGTTTGGTCCGTGGCCTGCACGTGACATCCGTCCAAATGATGGAATGTTCGGTTATTAGGGACGGCTGGCCTTCGGACACCTACAGACACCCACAAACAACCCAGAATTGTCGAATAGGTTCCAAGCGTCTGTTGCGCTACCTGATTTGGAAGTTCTGACAGGCCGACCAATCGACCGGCACAACCAAGTTATTTTACTGGGTCGTCGTTCGAGGCGTCGAGTCTACAACTCAAATCACTCAATCGTAAATATGCTCGCTTGTTCAGATGTGCCGATTCAGATGCGTCCAGCGTGCGCTAGTGGGGTAGTGGTAACATGTTCGCCTCGCGTTTCAGACGTGCGGAGTTCAAAACTCGGCACAACCTTTGGTACTGTATTCTTATTCTTGTGCAGAAGTGTTGGTTTACAGGTATGTTCATGCTGATCTTAGTCCTTCGAGCTTCATTTTGCGGTAGGCCATTGCTAACTGAGTCTTTGTTCTTCGCTATCGTTTTAACTGATTGTCAGTTATTCCGATAGAATGGAAACAATGGCAGTTAAGCACTAGTGTTTGCTACTGGTGTTGATGTTGACAATCTCCCCCGTTACCTGTCCGAACGGGTGTTTTCTTTTTTATAGTCAGTTGGATACGCCAGCTTATTGCCACCTGATTCAACGGAAAACGACTTGGTTGATTAGGAACACCGATATCGATCAATACTTTCTGTTTTCTTTCCGACTCACTTGGTTGTTTCTGTTCACAGGTTGCGGCAAGTTTACTTAGGTGTTCTGGTTTGTTACCGCGCTGGTAGTTGTCATTGCGTACGTTCAATAACTTTTTTCGGTTGATGTATATATCGCTCGCTTTGTGGGCAGATAATGCAGCTGTAATTGCCCGTTATCGAATCTGCTTGTAGTCTCACGACACAGTAATCTAACCATAAAAAGAGACCAACCCTTGAGGAGTTCACAACAGCTTCCTCTGTGATCTTAAGGGAAGATTGTCTCGGGGGCATGCTCTGTGCTTTTTTTACACGTGATTCTCTGTTTTGACGAAAGCAGATTGTCTGACATCTTTTTGTGAAAAATTTTGGGTCGCTTTTCAGAAAAGAAATTCGCGGCTGTTTACTCCAGTTCCAATTGATGCAAAAGGTTGCTTGAATGCTTCCCATCGCATCCGTGTTATTAGACTCAGTCTGGGAAAAACTTAGTATCAACTAGTCAGTGGAAGCTCCAAACAGTGGGCATAGCCCTCAGTGGGTTGTCTGCAGATATCGATTAATCCAGCTTAACATCTCATTACTCACCAGTAGTGTTGTTTCCTGAGAAACCCGCCAGCTGAATTCGACATGCAAAGAACAGGATTTCACAGTTCGTTTCATTTTTTTTCTGTTTGGTCTTCAACCTCATTCCTCGTTGTTTATAGCTTCCTTCACTCAAATGGTTGGATCTACGTGGTTGCAAACTTACCGACTCAGACATTATCCTTCTGGCTCATGCTATCCGATCCCAAGCAGTTTCTTGTCGTGCAGACGTGAGTCGGTACATGAAATTTCGACTGGCCAATCGACGTCTATTGGCGAAGCGAAAGGAAAGCGCAAAAGCTGGTGAACGTGTTAGCACAGACTCCGATGAGGAGCGAGCCGCTACATGTGTACAACACGGTACTATTGAGTGCACTCAATGTCTCTCTCAGCTACCCTACGTCGGATTACGTGGACTGCATTTAGGTTCAGCTGGCATCAAACAACTTACTTGGGATAGTTTAACCAACGCTCTCCGTTTGTCTTCTGTGTGTGATGTGAGACTCCCTGATAACCAGCTGGGACCTCAAGAGGCTCTGATGCTTACTCCGCTTATTCGCTACGGTGCATCGCTTCGCTACTTGGATCTGAGCAGGAACCACCTTGGGGTGAGCTCAAGTTTTTTAGTCTCAGTGCAGCCGAGAAAAGTAAGCTTATCACTGATCCATTAGCTTGTATTGAGCCTGGGTCCAAGATTGTGTCAGTTTGTTTCCTGGCAGTGTCAACTTTATTGATCCACTTGAGTAAAGTACTTCTTCCTGTCCACAACGTGTTTTTTCAGATGGCTGCCATCACCTACATTATCTGTGTTTCGTTATTTGGCTCCGAATGTCTAACAATGCGAAGGCCGTAAAAGCACAATCAATCTTCCTAGTCCAGGATCAGCCTTGCTTAAGAGGAACGTACTGCGACGTCCCCACTTATACTACTGTAGATTTATCAGGAATATAAATAGTCTTTGTTCCCCCACTGAGTGCTGTCACTACTGAATCCCTAGGAGACATGATTATCCACGATCCGCACTCCTTGGCACAATAGAGGCACAGAAAACGTAATTAGGGAGTTTGTTTTTCTAATATTTTCCCCCTCTGACTGCTCGTTTGAATAATATTTGACCTCTCCTCAACCTGTGCACAATTAGTTCATCATTGATGCTTAAACTAATGTACATGAGCATAGGTTCAACAAATCAATGGTAACCTTGACCTGACAATTGCGTGTGAGACTTGAGCCTGTGTACACTTAAATACTGGCGTAACCACTGTTCCATATGTGTACGTACACGGTACATACGACCGTACTGTTTCTGATTGTTTTCTCACTCAGTACACCTGGCGCTCTCCACGAATCATCTGCTCATAAGCCTGCTAGGATTCGGCCATTCAGTTAGTGCGCCTAATGATGTACTTCCAAGGCGGTTCTCAGCTGTCGACAGGCGTTAGTCATCGTGAGGAATAAGGGGGTTTTATCTTCGAGAACCTTGTCGGAAGACACATTAAATGTATCAATACAGTTGTTCGCAATATAAGTTCATATTGGAAGGCTTTTGAACCCCTTCTGCATTAATTGATGCATGTCATTCTTCGGCCTGTTTGACTTAAATCTGGCCTAGACACCAAAACAAAATAGGGTTTTGTGATGCGGAGGATTTCAATGCGAAATCGGGTTTCGAAACAGCCAGATTTCTAGTGTCATCTTGCAACAGGGATGCTGCACTGGAGACTGAAAGTGTGAGTAGTACACACAAAAACCATGGAAAGTGAACTCCCATACTAGCTGACGAATGCCAGTGTGAGACCTTTTTGTGACGTTTTATGGAATACTATTGCAGTCCCCATCGCGACTCAGATCTTATGTGAGATCATAGCACTGGCCGGCACAGTAATGCAGCCTCTGGTGTTGGTGGCTCTCCGGCACGTTGACTCCCTCTCTTACTGTGGCAAACACAACATGTGTATTAAGGACTGGAAAGCAGTTTTTTGAATAGGCTACTAGATAAAAGCCGTTTTCCTACCTTTCTCAAACCTGCCCAGTTGTTGCGCGAACCCTAAATTTTGTTGTGCATTGTCGAGCAGTGTTTAAGACCCCTCCTGTGTAATCGGAAACAATGAATCCACATCTTCATATCTCACCATGTACAATCCACTATATTTTTGCTTCCCTTTTCATCTTCGAAATTTTCCCGCAATCTTCCAAAAAAGTAACTGACTGATAAGGGAGCAGTTCCGATATTCCAAGTCTTATGCTCTTATGAGTCGTTTCCATGGTGAATCACATAGTTGAGAGATTCAAAGCTTCTGGAGATAGTGGACTGTATGTTCAAGACTTCTTGGAGCATTCGAAATTTTCGTTCTCAAATAAAGGTAAAACCAAGCGGTTCGGGTGAAATCAGTGTTGCCATTTTCTAATAAGATACTTATCTGCTTAATGGGTTCAGTTTAATGTTATTGCTGTCAGCTGTGGTTTGCGCCATCCACGCAACCAACGAGGCTGCAGATGACTTAAGTATCCCCTGTAACAAGACAATGTTGATGGACTTGGGAATCTGACATTTCCGATGGTATTTCTTGCTTGTCTTGTGATTATTTTATCACGATCATCTTGATCGTTTAGTTAATCTTTGTCCGTCCCAATTACTGCCTGTTGCCGACAGTAGCTGCGCGTATACAGCAGCGCTCTGTTTGATTCATTCAGTTCACTGCAGCACAGGGCCTCAGTAACAGGGAATCAAACAGAAAAGAATACACATCCGCGTACACGATATTGAATCCATAGCGCTCACTCCTCAACACCTAACAACTTTCAGCAGCACTATCCCATTTGGCACACTTTCTAATTTCGGGTGCAATGTGCTACTTTAGAATGTGTCAGCTGGTTCCCTACGGCTGTGTTGGTGATTTCTCTCTCAAGAAATTGCTGCCTTGATCCGTTCGTAGCTGAACTCAGTTGATGAGCGAGCCTGCATCAAAATATCTACGCTGTCTACTTTTTGTTTACTGTGACTGTACGGGACTAGTCGAGGACAGTCGCTTCAGAGGAATGAGTGCTGCCACGGTGGTTTATTCACTGGTATTTGAAAGTAGGCTCCTAGAAACACTGAACATTTTTGGGATCGATTCTTCTCAATAGTTTTCATGTGGCATGTATCTGGTCATCGCATTTGAAGCTATCCCTTTCACACTGAGCCCACAGTCCCTTGACCTACGATTATCTTTGAAAGTTCCTCATGCATGAGAACCGTAGTTATCTCTCTCTTTTACACCCTTTGTTGCCTTTACTTCAGCCCGATGGTTGCGCATACATCGCGTCCGCGTTAGCCTCACCAGCGTTTCCGAGCAAAGCAGCCAAGTCCTCTGGTCTGCGACGACTGGATCTTTCAGAAAATGAATTAGATGCTCCTAGTATGAACAAGCTCTCTGTTGCCTTACCTCACTGTCAAAACTTGACTTGCCTACAACTATCGGGAAACAAAAAAATAGGATGCACTGGTGTTGTCAATTTGCAGTCAGGTCTCCTGACTTGTCGACGGTTGACCCATCTTGGACTCGCTGCTTGTCGAATCGAGTGTATTGGTGCGGTTGCCTTAGCCGAACTCCTGGTAGATAAACCGCGACGCCTAAGTGTGATTAACCTTCGCTGGAACAAAGTGGGGGCTGCTGGTCTATTGGCCCTAGCTCGTTGCTTACAGTGTGTACACAGGCGCATTCATATCGATGGTTTGGACCAATCCGATGTCGATTCTTCGTCGTCATACACTCCGGATAGGATTTTACAGACAGCAGCCAAATTAGCAGGAGGACCTTCTGATGTGGTACGTGTTTATTAGTCCTTTTTGTCGTACACATTTGTTTCCACATACTATGGATCTTGACCAAAACCTGCGATTAGAAATCGCTTGAAAAAACGATGACTCGTTTGCTAACTGAACGTTATACGATTGAGTGCTTTCTTCTAGGGTTCTCCATTCGGGTCTCTGTTATCTGTAATCCAAGCGAAACTTAGCCGACTCTTGTATTTTTTTCATCCCCTATGTTATATATGTACTTAAGGAGCCTAAATCGGATCAACCTTTTGATCACCTCTTCGTAATTCGTATCTTAATCCTCATGCGCGATAATCCCCTAAGTGCATCACTATGACCAGCAACGGCCTTGTGATTGCTTTTTTCCAATCTCGGATAACCTGACGTTATCACAGTCCTCATGTTTTCTTCTAGTTGCACGAGTCGCACCGATTATTCTTTATTATTGAAGATTTTGTGTTGCCTGGCGTGTGCCTTCTGCTTCCAGTAAGCGTTCTTTTTCGTTAGACGACTGTGGTAGTACCTGATGAACCGACGATAGTTTGTGAGTTGTGATGTGAACTATTGACCAAGAAACCTGTGTCGAATTCATTATCTAGATAGGTCTGGACGACGTGACAGCTCTTTTGTTGTCTGCTGGCAAACCAGGACGATCGTCCTTGTTTCAAAATGTGTCCCGACTGACTGTAGCCCAGAAGGTAAGAAAGTTTCTACCGGGATTTTTCACAGTTGATTCAGTCAGCAAAAAACTCAGATATTGCTGTTTTAATGGCTGATTTGAATTTTAGGGAAACTATCACGTCCGAAGTTAACTGATTTGATCAACCAGTTTGAAGAAACCAAGCGTGAATGATATTTTTCGGCAAAAGGTGAATCAGCAGTCCATTCTCTTGGACCGTGGGTCGAACACTTCGACAAGCATTTCGGTTGCCTCCTTCAGCTCAAAGTTCAGAGGTACTCGGCGAATCAGAATCGGGTTTTGTCATCACCAGCCGTAAACCGTGTACAGTTTATAGTTTTTATCGTTTCGTTCGCCAATATCTTGGAGACAGAAGTGGATAGTCATGCATTGGAGGCAGTAGCCGATGTCGTTGACGCGTGGCCTCTGAAGTGATACTGGGCTGAGGGGGGTGCTTTGCCCCCTAGGCGATGTCTGGGATGTACGCCACTGAGGACGCGGCCGGGCTATATCGGTCATTGTCTTTAACCACTAATAATAATACATAATCATTCAGGTGTAACACCCTTTCGGTGCGTAGCTGCCATACCACCCGAAGGAGGCACGGGAGTTGAGATACTGCCAGGTTTTCCAAGCCTAGACAGTAGCAGTCGAAATACAGAGGTTTGATTCAAATCACGGATCTCCTGTCCGTAAGTTTGCGCCGTAACCACTAAGCTATATCGAGCTCATCTCTAACCACTGATCTGTCCCGTTTCGGCGTCCCCATCCAGGGAAGAGTCAGTGAACAGCGTAGGTGAGCTTGATGGCTGCAGTGAACTTCATTTTGCCGAATAGCCAAACTTCGGGAAGACGACTTGTTACTGGAATCCAATACAACAAAGGACATCTATTTTGCTGAGTGAGTGCAACTCCCACGCCATATGTTCCACCAGGCTTCGCTTCAGAAGCACTATAGTCCCGGAAATTAAAGTGTGGAAAAGCTAAGTCCGTCCTGGTTTCCAGAGTGCATGACGAAGTTCCAGCTTTCTTGGTTCGGAGGGATAGCATATGTTCTTGCTTGGAGAGACTTGAACACCATTGTTTTGGAAACCTTACAATGTTCGCCTCACTACCTCATCAGTGACGAAATAAAACAGGAATGAGGAGAGTGTACACCTATGTCGGGCATCACTGTTTATAGAAAAGCTTTCAGAGAGCTGCCCATATGTTCTCATGTCCACAAGGGCGTGATCTTGATCGTAGTTTTGCTTGCTGTTCTCTAGTCAAGCCTTCACACGCCTTCCAAAGACCACCTAAAGTAGGCGACACAAACACTATGGTCACAGTGAAAGTGAAACTGATCCCTCTGATCACCGCAGACTGCGATCACCCTTTTTGAAGTAGTTGCTGCTATCCACCTGCCGCAGATATTTGGAACGGTCTCTTTCGTCCGAAAAGAAGCAAGCAGGAGAGATTACGGACAGGGTATGGACGTTAAAAGGCCCATTTGGGAATGACCCGAATGTGTTGAGGCGTTACTTTGTCAATGTTGTTAGGTAGCGTACTGGATGCGACTTTCCAGCCAGATCTGACGACGTTTGCTTGTAAGGAGATATATCGGTGGACAAAACATTGTGAAGGCTTATGGTACTCACCAGTTGCGCAGACCAAGGTATCCCAACTTGAGCCTTCGTTGGCAAGCGGGGCTGGAGTTGTCTTATTAGGAAACCTCCCCCTCACACTCTACCTTAATATTCTGACCCGTTTGGCTGCAGGAGGCTGGTCTCGCCCGAAAGAAGAGAGAATAAGACAGTCTTCAAGAGCGACCTTTTCCACACCATCTTACTCAAGTTATTTAGCATTGCAGCTTCCATAAATATGGAAATGCTAGTCGCGTGGATGAAGATCCTTCGTTTTTTCACACATCTATCACATACAAGAGCTACTACTTTCCTCAGACCGCCTATTACGGGGTTCGTTGCTTTTTGTCCGACCGTTCCCCTTTGATCCTCCGGGCCGGACTAAACCTTGTTGAACGGAGTTCCAGCTATTGTAGCCCGCTGGATTATTCCCATACTCAAACTCCACCAACAAGTCAAAATGGTATTTTCTCATCAAAGAGTAAATTATAACGCAAAAATTCACACCCTTAGCCAATCCTAGATGGCTCACACTCTGCACTTCAAAAGACGGCGAAGCACTGTTATTTACCCTTGTACATTAGCTACGATCCCTGTGGAACCAGACAAGGGATCAGTGGAATGGAGTCCCTCTGTAATTTTACTCGCTGTGGTGCATGTGTCTTCTGCCAATACCACCATGTGGTAACCATTCCGTTCTGGGTGCGTCGGTTGTACAGGCTGATCGATTACCGGGAGAGTTAGGTCCCTTTTAACCAGATTTGGTTTCTATCTAGGCGAGGATGTGTTGACCACATTTTCAGTTTAAGTGGGCCAACTAAGGGCCGTCGTGGCTACCAAAAACATTAGTGCTGGTTTTCCTTGACATGAAGGTCTCCTTCGGTTCCGTTGATCGCCTGGCGATATGCCAATGTTTACTCAGAATTTATCGTCTCTAAAGTTTCTACCTCTTCCACAGCACGTCAACACAAATGGCTACGCACTAGTTACGATAAGTTCTTGCTGAAGTCACCACATCCATTGCTGCTACACAGGGTTGTTCTCTATCATCTTTGCTTTTCAACTTCCGTGCTTATGCGGTAGTCGAATCTCCATTACCAGTCTCTAACGCAAGACCTTTTTGCTTCCAAGGCGTTTGTTTATGGATATTTTACATTGATTTGGCTACCCGTCAGATCCAATTCTCCAAAAACGTACATCACTTTACGTAATTTGGATAGTCTGTCCTCATGATTTGACATAGGTTTCACAATTGCAAGGCATAAAGTGCAGTTGCAGGGCTGGGAACAAGCACATATTTCATGAGCTAGTCGGTATCTTATGCACCTCCGTTCGCAGCATTATAAGTCCCGTTGGACCGTTGAAGAGTGAAATCACTCCCCGGATTAGGAATGTCAGTGTTGCTTTTGCGAACCTCCGACATCTACGACGCCGCTGTACCATCGGTCTGCCCTTCGGTAGGAGACTGTACGGCGCTGCTGTGTGATCCACACTTCTTTAAGGATCAGAAGTTTGGCCAACACATGCTAAGGGGGCAAGAAAACTTTCAGTGCCCGACCGTCGGTGTCTCGGAAGCGTTGTCTGGGCTTGACTGGAACATCGGATCAGCAATGTCCAAGTACGTTGAATATTTTTGGAAGAAGGGACTCACCCATTGCAGCTAAAGTGGTCACACACCATAGACAACGCCTGTTAGGAAATGTAGTTCGCATGCCACAAGACCGGCTACTTTGCGGAACCGACTTCGCCCAGTTATGCACAGACTGACCTAAAGGTGGCCAGTTGTGACTTGGTAACGGAATATGAAAGCCCTATCGGTAAATTTAGTGGCGGTGATCACTGCCTACCAGATGATATCGGGACGCGACACACCAACGACCAGTTTCACCGACGCCCTTACATTATTGCCTTCAATGTTCCAAACCTTCCGTTCGTGAAAGACAGCGACTGGATGTCAGTGAGTTCGTCATGGCGTTGTTTGCAATGCGTTATATTCTTTCCGCTATTACCTATTGGGACGCGTTCAGAGCGAAACGTGTGCAGAGAACGACGCATCGCAAATGTCACCACACGATCCGGATAGCAGGTGTGTGATCGAAGCTCACCTAAAACGGCATAGCAACAAGCGACCAACGGAATGGGTGTGAAAATGATCAAGCCATAAACGTCACCGTTGGCTGGACAAGAACGAACAAGCAAGTGACCGTATTTGGCCATCCTATATGTGCCTACACACGAGTTTGACGGACAGTACAGTCGTTTTTCGGTCGTCTGTCTTATCGCGTGGCCTGGCAGGCCCAATTCAGGTGTAACTGATAGGACTAGTTACGTGACGTTTCCCCTATCCGAACTGCGCTGAAAGTGATACCGAACAAGTGTGACATAGGCTTTTCTACTGCCGCCATCGCAATAAAATTCGTTTACCGACGAAGGCCTTCAGTTGGTCTGTCATATTCGGAATCGGTAGCAGATAATGAGGCAACTGGGTGCACTGGGTATGGCTGGCGGCCATCGGTGCGCAAACTGTTGTGACTCCTAACGTAACACTGTAGCGGTCACTTCCTTGTCACTTCAACCAACTTCGCCTAATTTGTCTAGTACATCCGTGCTCACTAGATCACGCGACTCCTTTGTTCCGCACAAATCGTGACAAAACCCTGTCGCGCTTGGAACCTAGACCGACAACAAGTCACTTCCAGTCTTGTTCGTGTCTGAACGATTATAAGTTACATACACGTCAAGCTTTCGTATAAATAAGAAGACACGACACTGTCAACACACACACGCGCGCGCGTAGAGTGCAGAAAGTCACCCAAACTCTTCAAGTCCACGGACAACTACGGAACACGTTTAGCAGCTATACTGCGGAGAAAACACGTTCCCGCCGTCCGGACTTTCACCAAGGAACTCACAAACGATAAGTTCCTCTTTTGACTCACTCTTCATTTCGCATTGCATTTATTTTATACGTGGTGCAACTCGCCACTGTAAACCACTGCCAACCATAGTAACAACTATTATTAGTGCATATACCTTCTGAGTCATATTATGGCTAGGACCACCTGTGCACTAATAGCAGCTGAACATAGAGTACGACTATTGTCTATGTTTTACTCCCCGAAACCCTTCAATATACAGGTTTGCTCGCAATTTTCGCACCCGGATATTTTTTCTGTAGCATTAGCGTTATCATAGTCACCACTCAGGCTACCGGAAACTCAAACTTGCCCAAAATTGATTTTCATGAGCACCTTGTAGATTGCTTTTGTCCAGGCAGTCGTATGAAACAACGAAATGGCACTGATGTGGAAAACCGACCGGAATACGTTTGTATGGTGCCACCAATAAACACCCTTTTGGAGAATACAAAAGTGACCATGAGGAATACGCCGTGCATGTATTTAATAAAGAACGCTTGTGTTGTGCTTAATCATTTATTTTTCTCATCACTTTTACTGTGTCGCTGCAATCTCACGGAATTGTATGTACAAAAATTTAGTTACTATAGGTTTAATTTATGCACATTCGGCCTAATGGTCTGCTATTAACATTTCAATAATCAACTAGAGCACTTTCGGTTTGCCTTCTGAAAATACGGTGACCAGGCTTTCTACTTGTTCTTTGCGTACTACCGCCTGTCCATTCAACAATTGAGGTGTTGTTTAAAAATCAGTTACAGCCCACATGACTGTCTTACCGGCGGTGCCACAACTGCCCCCGAAAATCAAAATTCAAGGGCCAACGTGTGGGTTAGCGGGTCGACGGTCTGATGCCTGTTAGAGGAGGCGTTTTTCAGCTGACAACTTACTGGTAACGTATTTTCCAAACACTGATAACTTCCTGCTCTCCACTGTGTGTTCAGTCTCAGTAGCTCCTGGCGTGTAAGTGCTGTCCGAGCGAGTAAAATCGATGATCTGATGTTATTCTTGATTCAGTGTTTAGGCACATGGTTCCCATTTTGTGTCCAGCACAATATTTGTTAGAAAGAAATTAGTAGCCAGCCGTCGACGAGCTGATATTATCCTGGATACCTCCAGTGGAAACAATTAAACGGACGCCACTTGACGTGCCTAGAGTACCTGTTTAAACCTTTTGGGTATCTGATCGACACTGTCTGATTTACTACATGAGTGGCATAAGCGGTCCACCAATTGCGCTAAATGACGTCATTTGTTAGGCTTGTTACGCATTATCGCTTAATCCAGGTGCACCGTGGCCCAGTTTCAACGCTAGTGTAGCTGGTAAGGCACTCTCCGGTAAGTGGGGCGATTGTCGGTACGATTTCCGCGTTATATTTTCATTAGCATTGCATAATTGGGTTCTCTATTCAGAATTATCCAAATGAATAAAAGTAAATTGACCATGCAGTTGTACGGTAGTGAGGCATCAGTGTCAACATGTATGCTGCTGTCCCTAACGATAATTATTATTATCCAACTCTATGTCCCCTTTAGGTCTATTCTGACTCGCTTTGCACTCCAAAACTAGGTGACCATTCCTCTTTGAGTCCACTTTTCTCACGCCTTTGGAAACAACATTTTTTTGTCACACCCCGCTCTGCTTCGGGAGCTAAGATCAGCTGGAACAAGTAACCTCCAGATAAATGATGTCATGAACCAAGCATCCTCCATAGAACTTCGCATTTTTCTGCCTGAATGCCATCATTTGTGTAATGCAGTCCTTTTAATTTCAGACTTCGCATATGCGTTGGGGTTGGTTTTTCACCATCTTGCCAAATTTCTTTCGCTGTAGGGCGCAACACACAGCGTTATTAACATGACCCCAAAACCATGTTGGTGTCATTTTTAAGTTTAAGGAACATGGTAAAAACTGACAGTGGGATGCACTTCTATGATGATAACCTCCGCTGTTAGCTGTCGTATTGGGTGTATTTGTAAATAATAGTTCTACCGTTAGTCACTGGCTAGCGATGTATTTGTCACCATGCCTGTTACCCGATGATGGATTTTTTCAACTTATTTTCATTTTCTTCAAGCCAAAAGTAGTTGATCCATTCTTGGGTGAGGCGTGGGTTACCCTTAAACGGCTTCAAGACAAAAACCTACAGACTTTTCCCAAGACGTCCACAATCAGCCGGAGATACTGCGATATCACATGTCCGACATCATATTCAGTTTTTGGTGGCCCGCGGTCACCAACCAACGAGATAGCAGAGGAACTTGATCCTCGTTACATGTGGGGAGACAGTTCTGAAGATGAAAACGAGGAACAAGATGACCTGACAGCGTTCACAGAAACTGAGACCTCGAGCGTGTACTCTTATCTCAACTGTCGTCCACCTCAGGCTACAAATAACTTTCTGGTCAATGGTCAGGTGTCCTTTCCCCCGTGTAATCGAGTTAACGGAGACGGTTTAAAATCTCAGTCTGTTGAACCAACTAATGAAGCCGTGCCGTTTGAAGTTCCCAGTAAGTTATTGTTATGTAGTGTAAAAAGTGAAATATTATCAGTATATGTGCAAAAAATGTCGAATGGTCCGGTAGAAACTGCCTCCTATTTGGTCTAGCTTCGTGTTCCGCGTATGCATTATTCTCGAATCTTGAATTGTCCTCAGATTCTAAACCTCCATACCTGTCTAGCGGTAGCCGGCATCCTTTTTCATTTTCACTTGGGTTTTTGTGCCACCTCGTGCTAGACTTTGTGATCCTCTTTTACGACCCACAAATTATCCGCTGCTAACTTTTTCATGATAGATCAGGTGTATGAAGCAAATTCTGCTAACTGTCGTGTGCTATCGACGCCCTCTGGGCAGTTTCCTCCAAGGAAATATACTGCGATATCTAGAATATTGTACCAAGCGAAATGTGATGCAGTCACATTTCGGTGCAGCACATTCAGTTGAAGAATACCATAGTCGAGAGATTCATCTGGGACTTAATTAAGTCCTGTGAAAGCCAAATTGGTAAGTGAGTGTATTTCGCGAATTCCGTACAATCTGGGCTCGATTGGAACATAAAGTTGACGGAAGCTCGGGGACCCTGTCTGTCTAATGAGTGTAAAGTTTTCAGCAATCTTGCGAGTAGTTTCATCCAAGTAAGTTTTGTTAGGTTAAGATTCCAAAAACGTCAAGTGGTTGAGGTGTTTTTTACTTATTACAACGCATCGGGTGCTTGCAGACAGATTGTTAGCTTGACCTCCCTTGTGCAACACTTGTGACCTTAGGTGACTAGGTGATCGCTCGTAAATGGTCAGATCGTCCGCTATTACCATCTGTCGCGGATGACCTGGCAAATCACCACAATGGATTCATCAGAGGAGGCAGTGCTGCAAACAAACTGGGATTCGGCTACTTAACCCCAGTTGCATTATTAATATACTAGTGATCACGGAAACGCGGCAAAAAAGCAAGAATTCAAGAGTATTAGGTGCTATTCCATTTGAGAGAACGGTCGTAGCTCAGATTTCATAAATAGCCTTTGGTTTGTTTATTTCTCTGGGTAATTAGTTTTCCATGAAATCGCCCATTTCAGGGAACCTATAAACATTTGGACATGTTTCTGTAGCATAGCTTTACAGAGTGCTTATCTGAGGCTTATCTGATATTCGATAAGCCATTGACCGTTCTGAAACGAATGCACGTTGAAAGGTCGCTGTCAGTTTTCGAGAAACCCTGCTACCAACTAAAATTGTTGGTTCGATGGTGATGTGGCTGCTGGCCACCCATATATACACTTGTTGGATTCAATTTGTACTAAGCGATTTTTCTAAAACGCATTCAGGTTCAAACTCAGGCTCCGACAACTCGAAAACCCACCATGATGAGTAGGTATCTGCCTGTACAATAGTTCCAGGGCCGCCCGTTCAGTTTACGTGCCTATCGTCACAAATTAAGAATCTAGATTGTTGCATTTCTGTAGGTATCCTTCAAGAGTTTGCGTCTAACATAATAGTTTGTGCACTTCAACGTAGTTGGGGACACTTCCCCTGTTACCTGCTAGCTTATCCTATTTGTTACACCTGAAACAATGAGAACTTGCCTTCCGATGACATGCCCAAAATTTTACGAATTACAGTCGTCCACACTACGTTATATGGGTGGATACAGCCCTCTGTGACAAAGGGAGGATATGTAGACTGTGAATAGTTATCATACGAAGCATAAAATGAAGGTTATTTGCATCAACCTCACGGTGGAATCGGCTCACCAAAGTGATATTTTGTGGGTGACCTACATATTTGCGTCCAATGGGTTTATTATGCTGCGATCGGCTCTGAAAGCACAATGTGTTCTAACACTCAGGTCTTCGAATGATTGTGAGTCAAGTTATATGCTGACTTGTTTGTTCGTTCAGTTCACATCAGCCCCAGTTGGATTGAATTTTGCGCATACTCCCTTCTTAGCCTTTCGCAGAGAGCGCGAATCATTATTGCTCAACCACTGAAAGCGTGATTCGGACATGCTTCCGCTAGCGCAATGTCATTGTTGTGCGATTCGATTTGAACTATACGTACTTGAGGAATGAGCCGCCATTCAGCCACCATTGTCCCTTATTGAAGAACTTCGCCTTAGTCTATTGCTTGTCCTACCAAACTCCATCTTAAGTGGCCTTATATTGTTTTCGTTATCATTTTCCACAAAAGCTGATCCACCCCAGCAGCGCGCGAGCACTGCGGAAGAAGAGCTTTGGACTGATCCGGCATTCCAAGGGCCTCTTAATGGCCTAGGCGTGGAAGTAGGCAGTTTCGTCCCAGTACCCCTTCACTAACCACGCAATGAGTGTTTCCACCTGTCTTTGTCCGTTCTAAACGGGGTGTTGCCGATACGATAACATCGTCATCCAATTCTGTCAGAATTCAACTCACCTCAATCTGTTGTGAATAGAATGCTGCTGTGATATTATCCCTTAGCAAGTGGGACCAAATTTGCGGCTACCCTGCTTAACGTAGCCACTTTCTAGTTTCTCCGATGCTGCCTTGACTCTTGATTGTATTTTTTTCAGCCCCACACCTGTGATACCCTTTTGCTGCGCAACTTCGTCTCTTGGCTGTGGTGTCTAATTTCAATGCTGCGATTTATTTTTCCACACCTCATTGGCCCCCTTTTGATGTTTTGAATTTATGGTTTCCTATCGGCCTGTCTAAGTTACCTCGTTTCTGCCTACATACGACGGTTTATATTTTAATCTTTTACTGTTTGTAATTTGATACTTTGTGCATCACTTCACATCGGTCAGTTTGAATTCATTGCGTTGTTTGAGTTGCATACTTACTTACTTACTCACTTATTCCTTTGTCAGTAGAAGGGTGAACAGGGCTCATTCATTTTTCTCGTCAACCTAGGAGTAGCTTTTATGCTGACGTGCGGATTTGGCTACTGAAACCTTAGTTACTGTCTTTTGACGAGGTAAGTGTACTGAGTCACAGCCTAGTAAAATGAGGTACTCTTCGTTTATGGCATTGAGCCATACGTGTGAGCAACTACCTTAGCGTTTGTTTTCATGATTCAAAGGAAAGAGAACTAATGCCAAATATCCAGCAAGGTTACTAAGTTGGATAGTGTTTGAAACCTAAACCACAAAACGTGATATATTTTGGTGAGTTGACCGCCTTCTGAGGACAAGACAGCTTTTTAATTCGGCATGGTTGCATGTCGGAGTGTCTACATTCACTGACGGGGTCCCGCGTGATCTCCAGTCTGACAGCTAACATCTGTCGCTCTTTCTCCATGTTTTCTACATGAGTTTTCAGGGCTATGGAATTATCCGCCATTTCGGTCCCACTATCATTCTCATCATCGTTACTGATAGCAAACCAGAAGGTAACGCTGGTTGAAGAACAGTGGAAACCAGATAAAATTCAGGAATTTTCACAGAGTTTCATTTTATCAGCCAGGCCAACGTCTGGTGATTAGACCTGTATAACTGGAGCATCTTTATTGGGAATCAAGGGGCGTGGATGACTAGGAGTTCCATAGAGACCCGAACTCGTGACCCCGACATTTTCTCAAGCGTTCGGCTTTGATCGGCTGATTAGCAGTGTGATTAGCTCCCACCTCGACACGATATACCACCGTCGTCATTACGACAGCAACAGGAGACGAGAACACCGCCATACAGCCATGTCAGTTTGTTTGAATAAAATCTTCTAATGGAAGAAAGGAAAATGGGGGCAGAAAGAATGGTCTGGGGCTAGCCTAACACAAACATCCGAGGTGTCTACACGTCCGGCACTCAGTCAGACAGTCTCCATAAACATTGACGCCATCAACACTGTTGATCTCGGTTAGCCTGCATGTTGTTTCCTGTCTTTAGTCGAATGCAGGTACGGTCGCGTGGACCCCATCTTGGAAGGCGAACATCTCCCGAACTTTTAATAGCATTTTATTCCCTTCTGCCACGTCAAGTGTTCAATGCATATAATTTTTCCGCCACTCTGCATTAGGCAAGGTAAACAGCACTGGTCTCGGAAGACGTGTACCACGTGGCTCAACCACCTTAGGTTGCAATACTGGATGCATTCTCTGAGGGAAGTCCCCTCTGCCTCACCAAAAACCCACCTCTTGATAACCTGATTGCGAATTCGCTGCCTCCGGCAGATTTCAAATGTACATCTGAGACATCGGCGGTCAACTATCCGAAGATGTCTCAAATTATCCGCCCGAAGTGGTCAGGTTTTGCAGCAATACAGCTCGTACCATAGTCTGCTGCTCGCCTCATTCGGGTCCTATTGATTTACCTTTTTGATATCACAAGTGATGCAAACTGTGAAACGCATTTCTAACCCTTAAGGTTTGACTTTGTCTGTTTCTACCGTCAGAGCTAATGCAGCTTCCAAAATACGTATAGTGTTCCACAACCTCCAGTGTTGCTCTTCGAATTCTCAAAGTTATATCTGAAGGCCATAGATCGCACTTTGTGAGCGCAAAGTTCATACCAACTGCTGGTGCTTCCTGTCCCACTTAAAAAAATGAGAGCAATTTAGTCTGCATATTTTGAGTTGACAGGGTACACGTTCGGAGAAACCTGAACACCAGTGTTCTGGAGACCTTCCAGTCTTTGCCTTACCACCTCATCAGTGACGAAATAAAGCAGATAAATGAAGAGGGTGGACACCTTTTTCGGGCACAACTGCCTGTAGAAAAGCTTTGATAGAGATCTCCACACACTGTCACATGCGCACAAGTGTGTGAATACCAATAGTGCATGATATTCAGGAACTCCTGTGGCCTATCCTGTCGAGCAAATGGTCAAAATGAAAGAACCGATCGACCGAATCGAACGCAATCTTGAAATCAAATAACATCAGGATTGTGGAGCGCCTATACACAGGCCATTTTCCTAACGCCTCCGTTGCCCTGTCCAAATCGTTGTCCTAATTGCTGCTCTTGGGTCACGTCTATACTCGTCCTCCTAAGACGATGCAAATAGTCCTCCTAAAACAGAGGGGTCAAGCAGAAACTTCCTTTATCGCCGCAGTCACTGGAAGCACCCTTTCTGCGAATGGGCACCACCATCGACTCATCCCATTTGGTTGGAACAGTCTTTACTCCCAGATAGAGACCAATAAGTCAGGTAAGCACCGACTGAGGATTTCACCTGCATGTTTGAGCGGAGCGGATGACAGTTCACCAGAACTAGAAGCTCGTTGACGCTTGAGGGAGAAAAGACATTTCCCTATTTCCGAAGTCGTTGGGGGCCATATTTCGGATGGGGAATCTGGTTGAGCAACTGCAGGTGACCAGTTGGGTTGTTCTTAAAAGTGTTCAACCCAACGATTTAGCGCCCTTCTTTCCTGTAGATGGAAGGACCATTCTTCTCAATGATTGTTCCGCTCACCAGAGTAACACCAGAGGATACACCAGTTGCGTGTATCGGTTTTATTAGTTTACGTACATTTCCAAAGTTTAATGCCTCCTCTCTCTCTCTCTCCTCTGCCCTCTGAACCCACCGAGCTTCTCGATCTTCGCGGATACTTTTTCCCACATGAAATCTGACAGTTCGTCCAAAGGTATTGTACTTTTGACAACAAGGAGGGTGTGTCTTCGAGCTTGAGATCCAATGCCTGAATTTAATTGGCTGCACCACACCACAAACAGAGCTCCCAGACTCTTGCTGGGTTTCGGACAGTACCTTTCAGTACGAGTCAACATCGGAGGACTTGTTCTTTTGATAAGGACTTTAGTAGGTGATTCTAGTAAGCTTGCTTCACATCAGAGTCGGAGATCTTCTCATTGACGAGACGAGGTGTGTTGATCTTTCGCCCCCGAAGTGTGTAGGAGAAACAGGGGAAGGCAAGCTCGTGACCTAGATCTTCATGTTTGTTTCAAAACTTGGGACAATCAATAATCAGCCCACGGCACTTGAAGCTAATGTTGATGTGGTTTGCTATTGTTTCAGGTTTTCTCAATTGCGTGGGCACCATATGCCAGTCGGGAGTTTTACTACACTGAAGCAGTCTGTGTTCAGCGCATAGCTGCAGCAGGCGTTCCCTGTTTCCCGTGCGGTTCCATTCCAGTCCAAGGCGATAACCTATCTGAGGTTCAGCAGTGCTAAGTGCATTCATATCTTTGGCAACCACAACATCCGAGATCTTATCTCGGTGCAGCAGGCCGCCTTATACGTTGTAAAGAGTTATTGAGTTGATACCATGGGCAAACAGCGATTACCGGCACGTTTACGGGATACTTTCACAGACGTTGCCAGGACCGATCTTTTTGAGTATTTTTTCTCTCCTTGCATTGCTCAGGCAGTGGGTTATTCGGCTGTCGTTTTGGGGCCCTGCCCGGAACTTACTCCAACTCAATACGTACTCGGATGTATCTGGCCTCAGGACGTACTGACGCAATAATGACATGCAATCCTGACAACTACAGATACGTTTGAAGCTGCAGAAAGTGCGTTTGCAAGCCTAATTTACTAACTTGGTTGCTCGGCATCTGGTATGGCCGAAATTGTATCGCGTACCTAAGAGCTGCGCAACGGAAAGCTATATTTGATTTTGTGGAATTTTGGTGTTTACCAAGGGTGGTTGATACTGGTCTCTTTACCGATCACTACCGGGCTTTTTGCCCAGGTATTAGCTGTATTCTGGTCATCTCAGTGTGATCTATGAGGCAGAAACGAAATTGATTATCTTAGTCCAATGACCAGTTTGGTGGGGCAGACTGAGTTCTACGTTGGATTGTCGAAATACACAAGCCGCCGCACGTCTGTGAGTCCCAGTTTGTCCTCGTTGAGCGAAATCAAGCCTTTTGATTTTTTAACATCTTGCAACTCACCTTGATTAAAGCACATTTTCCCTACGTCAAATAGATAATAGTGGAATCTTCGAGGGTAAGACCTCTTCAAAGAGGAACTCGCCGAAAACCGCACATCAGAATAACGTTTTCTATTCACAATTAGCCGGAGGATGCTATAGTGTAAGGTGTGCAATTTGCTGGTTGGCTAGACAGTCGATTGGATTCGTTTCCTTACGTTCCCTTACTGGTCTCCATATTCCTCTCCTGCTACACTCATCACTGGAAATAGTTTTTGTTTCCGAAGAGTACTAATCAGACCTTAGAAGCAAAAAAGGATTCCAGCACAAGGATGGGAATATTACTACAAATTAATTTCTACCCTCAGTTACACTTAGTGGCGGAAAACACCGCGTAGCTTAATCCAGACGGCTTTTCGTATGTTCTTATCATTACATTTTATTGTAACTAGGGCCTTCGAGTGGGGTTTAGGTAACCTTTGTTTCCTCTTCGCTTTCTAAGGACAGGTGAGGGAAATCGATCCATATGAGGACCATCCGGCGGTACTTGAGAACGGCGATCAACTCTACTTAGCTAAAGCAGATAGTCGTCGTCTGTTCTGGGGTACATTACCCTAGGCCGTTACTGTCGTGTTGTGAAATATCTCGAGGGATTCGTTTCTCTCGGGAGGTTCCCCGTCGTCGGTCAACCATTCTCATCTCTTTTGTCGTCATTTTCCAACGTATTTGGCCTTCCGACACAGCAGGAAGTAGTTAGATCGCTGAAAACGTCCAGCACCACCAACCGCGGTGGCTCGGGCATGCCGAAACATCGTCAGCTGAGATGGGTGTTGCTCTCCGTGGCTCTAACTAGGAGGCGGACAACCTGTGACTTAGCAGAAGGGTGTGAAAGAGACACTTACTAGTTGCAAGGAAATAGCAGCAAACTGATGTCAGTCGCTTGTGTGCTGTCGATTTCTTTCTAGATTATCTGATTGAGCGCTTGAATATAAATGCACCTCAGAATGCTTGCGGTAGGTTAACACCAGGTCCCTCTTCCATCCACTGTCTCTTTCACTTCAATGCTTTAAATATAATTAGATAAACTATGTGGTTGTACGGCAGTGAAGCATCAGTGTCAACACTTATGTCCTTGTCTCTGATGATGATGACTGCATGTTAAGCGATGCTCAATGTGTATGATCTCCTTCAGTCCGTCTTTAGTATCCAACATCACTGGAACCACGACAAAGGACAGTAAGCCGAACATTCATCACTAAACGGTTGAATTGAGCGATGATCTCTCGGCAATAAAGGAATTATACTGCCACAAATTGAATTTTCGTAGTCTGGGAGGTTAAATTAGTATCAGTAAGATCACATGAGAGTACCCTGTTCTCTATCTTGACTGGCTGCTCGAAAAAGGATTGCGTGCTCCAATAAGCTCCTAAAAGATGCCTAATTGACCCCCATATATTCTGTACTTATGAGACTTCAACTCACTCCCTGCTTCGAAAAACTCAACAGCTTTTATTGGATGCCATACCCCCATTCCGGTTGTGGAAGCTGGTTGGACGGCGTTATGCTTCC